AGGAAAACTGGGAAAGCCCAGACAGTTTCCACTTCTCTTTTGGGAGAGAGTTGCATGCACAAAGGTCCTGGGGCTGGAAGGGACATGCAGAGTATTGGGCTGAAAGAGGGTCAGTGTGATTGCAGGGATGGGGGGTGCCACGCACCAGTGCTGCGGAGGCCAGACGGTGCAGGCCTCGTGGACCTTGGAGGGGTTTCGTCTTCATCCTGACAGAGCTGAGCACTCACTGACAGATGTGAAGCCAGGCCTGCATGTGCACGCACAGACATGTATTTGCATGAGTGACAGGCTCTCATTGCATTTTAAGGCGATACCTCTGGTTTCATTGTGGAGAAATTATGTGGAGAGCAGAGTCGATGCAGTAAGACTAGCGAAGGGTAGCTGGGGTTGTCCCGTGAGAGATGACTGTAGCCTGGATGACAGCAAGGTCAGTGTCATGGAGCAAACAGACAAAGTCCATTTAGCAGACCTAAAATGTGCAGAGAACTAGGAATGATGGGACATGGAGGGTGAGCAGCAGACGTAGCCCCACTGTCTGGCCTTTGACATGGGTGTGTTCCAGTCACTGCAGCTGGGGACTCAGTAAGAGCTCTAGCCCTGGCGCAAGGGCACAAGCTCAATTTTGGACGTGTGCATTGGCACAGCGAAGTGCAAATAACAAAAAAGCAGGTGCATTCAGGTCGGGGGATGCCACGCGCTGAGGCTGCAGAGACCGACCCAGAGGCCGGCCTGGTCGCGCTTCAGCTCAGCCTCTGGGCCAGGAACTCTTGGCAAGGCTTGACTCTTCAGCTCCTTACCTTTGGTGATGCTCCTGGCTTTGGTCCCTGTCACCTGAAGGAATGTCTGGAGACTGGACGTTGTTGGTGGCCCTCCCAGCAGCCATCCCCTCTCTTTCTTGTTTAGCATCAGGGTCTCACTCTGCTGTCCAGGCTGGAGTGCAGTGGGGCCATAATAAACTCCTGGGCTCCAGCGATCCTCCCACTTAAGCTTCCCAAGTAGTTGGACTACAGGTGCATGCCACCGTGCCCAGCTAAAATTTTTTTTTAATGTTTTGTAGAGATGGGGTCTCGCTGTGTTGCCCAGGCTGGTCTCAAGCTCCTGATCTCAAGCAGTCCTCCTGCCTCAGCCTGCCAAAGTGGTAAGATTACAGGTGTGAGCTCCCATGCCCAGCTAGAACCTCCTTTTTGTTCCAGCCTCCATGCCTCCCCCATGTGGCTCAGGGCAAGGTGACTCCCGTCCCTAAATCAAGAGGCGGCTCCTGATTCATTTAAATGCAGCTGCACACATGTTCCTGCGGCAACTGTTAGTGATTAAAGCAGTCCATGACCCAAATGGCCCAGTCAGACCAAAGGGAAGGATTCAGATTTTATCCAAGAAGAGGGGCCTCTCTTTCCTTGAGCAGGAACAAGGAAGCACATGGTCCCAGCAGACACTGACAGACACTCTCCAGCACACAGGCAGCAGCCTGAAACCAGAGCCAAGAGTTGAGGGTGGAAAGAGGCTGGGGCCTGGGTGACAGCTTGGGACAGTGAAGCCACTAGAGGGGGCACAATAAGGCTAGCTGTGGCCACACTGGGAGGGATAGTTGAGAGACAGTTGTGATCAGACTGGGAGTGTCAGTGAAGGGAGAGGAGGTTATCCTGGAAGGGACAGTGAGGATGGTAGTGGCCACATAGAAGAGGGTCAGCAGTAGCCCCCCTCTGGGACATTCAGAAACCAGATCCACAGCTGCACCCATGAGAGAAGCTGTCACTTAGGCAGCAAGTGGAGGGCCACCTCCTGGGGCAGGTGCCCAGGTGAGCTGCAGGCCCTCTGGCTTCTGAAGGCCAAGGCATCCTGCTCTGAGGCCTGGCCACTGCTCCCTCCCGGCACCCAGGCCTGACGCTATTGCACCTACCAGCCTCACCATGAGGGTCCCATCAAGCCCTAGGGGTCCCAAGGGTGGACGAACTGCCCCACGTGGCACAAGACATTCTCCATGCCATGAGCCATGCAGTACTCTGACCCTTCTGCAGGCTCAAGGGACCTGAGGTGCTGCCGAATGCATTTCATCCCCAGCTTCTCCAGAGCCACCGTCTCCTGGGACTGCAGCATGGACATCCCCCTCCTCCACTCGCTGGCTGCACCCCATCTTCAGCACCTTTCCGGCAGGGGGCAGGAACAGGAGTTGCGCAGAAACAGCTCACCCAGTCCAGACACGCAGCCTGTCCCCACAGCCTGTCCCCACAGGAGCCCACAGTCGCTATCATCCCCAACGGGTATCTGAGGCTGGCAGCACATTCTCAAGGCTCTGCATGCAGCCCCAGACCACCTTCCTCCAAGGGCATGCCAGCAGAACAGTCAGCCACAGCCTGACTGACTCCTGGGAGAGTGCCGCCCTCACCCCTGCCCCGCTGTGAAGGTGGTCTAAGCCCCCTTCGGCCTGGCCTTCCCCCACTTGTGTGCTCGCTTCCCACAGACAGCTTGGCTTCGCCCTGGACCTCCCTGTTGGGCCCCTGGGCACCTGTCAAAGCTTGGGGGAACTGCTGCCAACCTGCCCCCAGGAGGGGGCTGCCTGTGGCTTGGTAGGTGCCCACGGCACAGAGGGCAGCACCACGGCTGTGGGACAGCTCCCAGTCCCCTGTGCCCCGCCCAGCTACCTTGCCTGCCTGTCCTGGGCCAGCCTGGGCCCAGGGGAGAATGGGAGACCGGAGCTGGGGAGCAGCCAGACTGGGAGAGGGCTAGGGGTGGCGGGGACCCATGGAGGAGAGGAGACCTCCCAACTCCCAGACCCCCACCTTGCTCCCCAGGTTCAGAATCCAGGTTTGCTGCCTGAGAGGCTGCATCCCTGCTGAAGTCAGAGGGGGATGCCTCTCTCAGGAGGCCCCAGGCCTCCCAATCACAGTAAGAGGAGGCAGAGGGAGGAGACAGGGCCGTGAGAGGACCTCTGGCGGGTGGCAGGCGGGTGTGTGCCCTGTCATCCTCTCTAGTTTGGGTGTGTGTTTGAAATTCCTTACAGGAAAAAACCGAAAACATGCTAGAAGGCAGACTGATCTCCCGACGGAATCGTGGGCTTGTCAAGGTCCCCTTCACCTGCTCTAGGGGTGACGCTCTGGCCGTGGTGCACCCCCACCACCAATGTGTCCACCCACACGCTGCAGACAGTGGCACACATGGCAGCCCCTGCGCCCCCATTTCTAGGCTTGTGTGGGACCCGCAGCCCAGGGCACACAACCCTTCCTCCTGCAGTGCAAGTGGGGCACACTCCCGGGGTCCCCGCCCGAGGCACGCACTCTCCAGCCTCCGTGTGGGCAGATGCCTGCAGTGATGGCTGGTGGGCATGTGGGCAGACGCCTTTCTGCTCAAGCTGGAAATGACCCAAGGACGATGGGGGCTGCCTTCCCACGGTCGCCCCAGCCCCCACCAGGTTACTGGATGAGGTAGGTGCAAAGGTCCCCCCGCCCCCCGCCTCCACGGCCCTGGAGGACTCGGGGCTCAGCCCATTCTCTCGCGTCGGAGTGGCCTGGGCTGTCTCGGCATGACCGCAAACCGTGTGGCTTCAACCAGCGGGATTGATTCTCCCAGTTGTGGAGGCCGGAGTCCGACATCTAGCGCTTCCTCCGGGGGCTCTGGGGCGGGGTCCTTCCGCCTCTTCCAGCTTCTGGGGACCCTGTGCGTTCCCCGCCTCTGCCTCCACATGGCGTTCTCCGTGTCTCGTTCTCCTGTCTCTTCTAAGGGAGCCGTCCGTGGGGCCCCCTGGGAGATCTAGGTTGCCCTTATCTCCACATCCTCAATGTAATGACATCTGCAGACACCCTTTTTTTTTTTTTTTTTTTTTTTTTTTTTTTTTTTGCATATAAGACAGTGTTCACCGGGCCGGGAGTTAGGAAGCCGATGTATCTTTCAGGGGGCACCAACCAGTCACGTCACAGCGTCTCAACAGCCCAGGCCCCAGCCTGCCCAGCCAGAGCCCCGGTGAAGGGACAAGCCTGGGCACCAGGACCCACAGCCGAGGGCCACCGGGCGCCTCCCTGCCTCTGCTCCGGGAAAGGGGCACCGAAGCTGTGTCTGCACTGGGCCCCCTGGGGGCCCTGCTTCCTGCAGCCGGAGCTTCCCTGAGCGGCGTCCGCCCTTCCTCTAAGTCCAGGATGGACGGCTTTCCTCCTGGGAGCACTGGCCTGCCGAGGGCTCCTTGTTGCGAGCCAAGTGCTCCAGGCCAGGGCCCTGGGTGACGGAAGAAAAGAAACCCCTGAGCTCTGGTTTCTCAGCCGCCAAGAGGGCGCCTGCCTCGCGCTCAGCTCCCAGCGGCCAGGGCTGGGACACCCGGTGTGACTGATTTTTCCCTGTTGCTTTTCTTTTACGGTCTTTTTCATATGCTTCACTATTTGTCAAGGATCTCACAATTGTCAACAGAGCAATATCCCAACCAGCCTTGGATTTCAATCCCAGCTCTACCACGTGGAGCATGACCCATTGGAAAATGACAAACTCCAGGTGGATCCCTCCGGGAACCTGAGGGAAAGCCAGATGCACCCAGCAGGTCTTGCCTTCTTGCACGTCACTGACCTCTTCTTTCTCCTCCTCCTGTCTCCACACCACCCTTCCCGAGTCACCTTTCACCTCTCCCCCACTTTCTGATCCTTGCAATCCTGGGTCACCAGAGATGCTCCCTTACGGGGCAACCATGGCTGGGCCACTTGATGCTAGCTGCCCGGCAGAGGTCCTGTGGACCCCAACGATATGAATAGCTGAATGAATGGACGTAATACCCAGAGGTCTAGCCCATGGGAGGTGTTCTGCCAACGTGGGTCCCTCCCCTGTCCCCTTCAGGGACAGCGGTGTGCTGACCATTTCCACCCCAGCCTTCGGAACAGCCCAGACAAAAAGCGGAAGTGCCCTGGGGCGCGTGGGGAGAGAGGCCAGACGCCCCTGTGGGGCGGGCGCGGGGCGGGCCGCCTCCCGCCGCGCCGCGCATGCTCCGTGCCCCCCCTCCGCGCCCCGTTCCCACGCCGCCGCCGCCGCCGCCCCGGCCCCGCCCGCTCCCGTCCCGCTCGTCGGCGCACCGGACGGACAGACTGCCCCTCAGGACGTGCCTCGCGAGCGGTACCCAGAGGCGAGGTCGAGACCCCGGCCGGGAGTCCCCCGATACCCCCGGCCCCGTCTCCTGGGGACACGGCCTCGGAGGGCTTCTCGGAGGTGGCGGCGGCCTCGGCCTCGGCCTCGGTGCGGCAGGGGGAGGGAAGGGAGGCCGACTCCCTCCGCTACCCGCTGAGCCCAGGTAGAAGGGCTAAGCTGAGCCGCCCGCTGAGCCCAGGTAGAAGGGCCGAGCTGAGCCGCGGGTAAGGGGGTAAGGGGTCCGTCTGGGCAGGGTGCAGGTGGGGAGAGGGACGAAGGAGCAGCGGCTGCGGCGACAGACAGGGACGCCCTGGGAGGCGGGCTAGCGCTAAGTGGCCGGATCAGCCCTCGGAGCCGCCCCCTACCAGGGGCGTTAGGGGAGAACAGCCTTCCAGGGCTGGGCGCTGGGAGCCTCGGCCCGCGTTTGTCAATTTCTCTCCTGATTGGTTTCCAGCCACCCGTCGCTCATTGCCTGGTGAGTTTGGATTTTGCACCTCTGGGTTTGAGAGTGCCAGGCAGATTGGCATTGTGAGGTTGTGGCACTGCTGCCCAGCCGCCGGCCCTGAGTGTCCCCAGACGCGGTCTGGATGCCCAAAATTGTGCTCCACAGGGTATCAGGTGTGTGCTGGTGCCTCGTGGTGGCGCGGGTGTTGACTGGGTGACTGGCATGCCATGGAAAAGCAGAAGCTTAGGCAAGCCTAGGAGGAAGGGAACGGCAATGGAAGGTGGTGGGCAAGGGTGAGAGAGGAAGCCAGCGAGGTGGGCAGCAAGCGGCGTCCCGCTCTTCCCTGCAAGCCTAGTTGTGACTGGTTCAATCCCACAGATATCTCCTGAGAACTCTCCAGGGGCCAGGCTGCTGCAAGCGTTTGAAATCTGCCAGGGACACAGCGGCAGAACGCCCTGCCCTGTGGCTCTCGTTCTAGTGGCTGAGCGAAGAGAATAAACAGAAAATGTTTTCCAGCAGTAATTACCGAGTCTGTTCAAAGGCAGTAAGAGCCAGGAAGGGAGGTCTCGTTGCAAGTTTAGGTGGTGTGGTTAGAGTAAGTCTCATTTCAAAGCAACATTTCTACGAAAACTCGAAGGCGGTGAGAGAGCAAGGCATGTGGTCATGTTTTGGAAGAGCATTCTAGGCAGAGGGAATCCCCCGTGCAAAGGCCCTGGGGTGAGAGGGGCCTGGCTCTCCAGAGCAAGAGTGTGGCGGGAGTGGAGGGAAGCGCAGAGGTGGCAGGAGGGCTGGGCAAGGTCAGGAAGGGATGGGTGGGTTTACTCTGAGTGACACAGGCATCCCAGGGATAACTGTGAGCAGAGAAGGACAGGACCCGACCCACCTCTTCGAAGGACCCCTCAGCAAGCAGCCTGAGTGGCCGCCTTTTGGGTGGGTTAGACTCTGCCCCCAGAGGGAAAGTCCTGCCAGCTGCAAGGAAGTTCCTCAGAGGTGTTTGCCAGGGTAGGCTGCATGCAGGGCCCGGGTCAACCCACGCAGCACCCAGGCTGGGCCTTGGCTCTAGTTTCTCCAGTTTCCCTCCCCGGCCGTTCTGCCAGGTGGGCAGGTGACTAGGGCCTCAGGCCAGGGCAAGCCGGTGGGGCTGAGAGAAGCAAGATCCCTCAGGACAGAAGCCCAACCACAGTGGCGATGCCTGTCCCTTGCTGTGGACGAAAAAGCCCAAATTCCTGCTCCCCACGAGTGGGACTGCTGGTTGCTTCTCTCAATGTTGTTTGTGTGCGTTCTCTTTTCTTTTTCTGGGAATCTCTCCCCATCTAGTGGTCGCCTTAAGGCATCCTGCTGCTGCCGGCTCTCCCCTTGGTACGCCAGGCTTCCTTGTAGGCAGTGGCCCTGCTGTCACCCCTTTCCTGGCCCTCCCCGCATGGACCACCCTGCATACTCAGTTCCACCCATAGGCTAAGATCCGCAAGCAAGGGTCCCAGGTGGAGCAGCCCTCGAGGGGCTGCCAGTGGCACCAGTCACCCAGGTTGATGGGTTTCCTGGCTTCTTACCTGAGGCGCCAAGGTCTAGTGGAACCCTTGCCTGCGAGCCCGATGCCGTGCCTCGGGGAAGCCTGGCTTCAGAGCGCACGTTTATCCTTCCACTTGGCCTCTGCTCTGCTGGTCCCCAGAGCTCTTGCCAGTCCAGCTGGAAGAAGCGACTCTGGAGTTCTGCCGGGCACCTTCCAGGTTCTCCTGCCCTCAGATGCACAGAGCGGTGCTCAACTGGAGATTACTTGAGTTCTATGGGCACAGAGTTTGTTGTGTCTTTCTTTCCAGGAGTTGAAATCATCCAGGAGATGATTTTCGAGAACCTGGCACTCAAGGATAGGCACTGCTCTGGGTGACAGTTCGGTGTGGCTGGCACCTCCGCTGAGTCTTCCGATGCTGCACTTGAGTGTGGGTCTCCGTCTCTGGGTGGACTCTCGCTGATGGGGTGTTCACTCGGGGGTCACCACTCAACAGTGCTCTGCTCCCTTGGGGCTCAGACCTGCCTCAGTACATCTTGGGGTGGAAGGACTAGAGATAACTCCTCCCCCTTTCAACTTGCCCAAAATGGGTAGTGAACGAAATTTCAGTACTGTTATGGTAGGGGAAAAAATGAGCTTATGTTGCTTTCCAAAACAATAATTTCATACTAGTCTGAAAGCCCTGGCAAATTCTCAGTAACACCTCCTCACTCACCTTTAGTTTTGCAGGGCTCCCAGTCACTGATGACAGTGTGTGCTAATGAAGTCAGGTGTGGCCTGCGGACATCAGGTGATTACCTTACAGGATCACTTCTTTTCCCCTCCTTTTTGATTGAGGTGAGACTCGCACAACGTAAAAGTTAATTTTTTGAGACAGAATCTCACTCTGTCACCCAGGCTGCAGTGCAGTGGTGAAATCACAGCTGCTGCAGCCTCGACCTTCCCAGCTCAAGCCATTGTCCTGCCTCAGCCTCCCAAGTATCTGGGACTACAGACACGTGCCACCACGCCCAGCTAATTTTTTTGTATTTTTGTAGAGATGGGGTCTCACTATGTTGGCCAGGCTGGTCTCCAACTCCTGAGCTCAAGTGGTCCACTCACCTTGGCCTCCCAAAGTGCCGGGATTACACGTGTGAGCCACCGCACCCAGCGAAATTAACCATTTTAAAGAGAACAATTCAGAGGTCATTTAGTATAGTCGCCCTGTTGTGCAGTCGCCACCTCTATTTAGTTCCAGAACATTCTCATCACCCCATAAAGAAACCTCCAGACCCATTAGCAGTCCCTCCCCATCCCCTCAGCCCCGGGCACCCACCGATCTGCCTTCTGACACAATGGATTTACATGTTCTGGACAGACATGTTTTATGAGAGTTAAAGGTTCTTTGGATGGCAGGACCCTGGGATAGATGAAAGGCACAACTTTTTGTTCTGTATAGCTCTGAACGAGAGAAGACTGCCAGGCAGGGCCACACAGGGGTTAGACCCGGCGGGGACAGGGAAACAGCACCTGGGGCCGAGGGGCCAGTAGAGGCGGGTGGCTTGGTTTCTTGGGCTTCCTGTGGATTGATTGAGTTGCATAAGGTTTCAGGCTCCAGAGCATAGGGGCTGTCCCCAGTTGTCTGGTGCCTGGCCCCAGAGTGTGGGGGTTCAATGAGGCAGGGGCAGTTGGGGTGTGTGTTTGGTGACCTCAGAGAAAGGGACCTTGTAAGAAAAGTGGTGGGAGTGGGGACTTAGCAAACTGCCCTCAAAGGGCAGACAGATGAGAGATTTTAGCCACTGTTTCAAAACGAGGTCAAGCCAGCTCTTGGGAAATGTGACGTTACATCACAAAATGGAATCAGACAATATGTGGCCTTTCAAGTCTGCGTCTGGCTTCTCTCACTGAGCAGTACCCTCGGGGTTCAGCCACATGGTAGCACGTGACAGAATTTCCTTTCTTTCTATGGCCAAATACTTTTCCGTTGTATATATAGACTTTACGGTGTTGGTCCACCCATCTATCGATGGACGTTTGGGCTGCTTCCACCTTTGGCTGTACGATTAATGCTGCTGTGAACACAGGTGTGCAAGGGTTTGTGTGAACCACTTGTCTGCAATTCTTTGGGGGTGTATACGCAGAAGGGGAATTGCCAAATCATATGGTAACTATGTTTAACTTATTGACAAGCCACCAGTCTCTTTTCCATAGTTTTTTCCTTTTCTTTTTAATTTTGTGCACAGACAAAAAAAAGAGGGACTGGTCTGAGGACACACAGGTCACCTGCCCTGCAGGTTTGGCAGTGACCACCGTCTTGCCTTGTTTGCATCAGCTTTTCTCTCTTTCTCGTTCTGAAAGGTTTTAAAGTAACTTGCATGCCATTTCCTCCCCCAAATGCTTCAATGTGCATTTGTTTAAATGGGGACATTTCCTTTCATGATCCAGTGCCACTATCCATCCAACACCTGAGCAGTAACGATCCCCTCCTGTTTTCTGAGGGCCACCCCATAGTCACCCCCTCACATAATCCCCAATGCCTTTGACAACTCTCATTTATGCCAGCATCTCATCGACAACACCTCTTGCACTTGGGTGTTGGTCCCCTTAAATCTCTTTTCATCTAGAACAGTCTCTACCCCGAGTCTCCTTTTCCCCTCATGACACTGATTTGCAGAGGACACTGGACCGGCTCTATGAAATGGCCCACTTCCGGGGTCAGGCAGGTTGTTTCCTTGTGGTGTCATCTGTTCCTGAGGGCCTCCGGACACTGGACATTGAGTGCCAAGACTGCATTCCAATCCAGTCATATGGCTTTGGTACGATACCTTCCTACTGTCCCCCGCTGTGTCCCGCTGCTAGCTTAGATGACTCTCATGCAGCCAGCAAATAATCACAGGATGACATTTTGATATGTGATAGCCCTTTCTCCCTCAGTCTTTAACCTAATGGTTCCAGCATCCATTCCACCCTCAGGGGCTCAGAGCATGAGCTTATGTATCATGGACCAATGTTGGCTGGCAGGTCATCATGGATGATAAGGGACTTTGGGGCAAGTTAAATGCTAGGCGAACACTATGGCCGTCTTTCTCTATGCTCCTAGGACCCTGTCCCCTCTCCCTCTCTCCTGTGGCCCTGTTGTTGCCACAGACAAACTGTAGTCACCTATTGGAACATCAATCAAAGCTTGGAGACCAAGCAAATGGAAGTCCCAGGCAGAGAAGCAGAGAAGGCAGGCATAGCTGGTGGGGACGGTAGCCGGTGTGCTGAGAAAGGAGCAATCTTTGACCTGCCTGTCCCAGACATCCTGTGTTGCTGTGAAGGCATACCAGAGGCTGGGTAATTTATAAAGAGAAAATGTTTCTTTAGTTCCAGATTTTGCTAGCTAGAAAGTTCAAGACTGGGCACCTGCATCTAATGAGAGCCTCAAGCTGCTTCCACTCAGGCTGGGAGTCCAAGGGGAGCTGGTGGCACACGGCATATGCAGAGATCATGTGGCCAGAGGGGACACAAGGTGGGGGAAGAGGCCTTTTAACAACCAGCTCTCACAGAGCACGGACTCACTCACTCACTCCTCAGGGAGAGCATTAATCTGTTCATGAGGGACTCACCCCCATGACCCAAACACCTCCCATGAGGCCCCACCTCCAACATTGGGAATCAAATTGCAACGCCACGTTTGGAGGCTCAGATATCCAAACCACAGCACTGACTGTCTTCTAGCATTGAGAACTGATGTGGAGAAGCAGAAGTCCTGAGGCCAAGGTGCATTTTGTTCACTTGGTCAATTTCATGTTCCCCACTCTTAGCCTGAAACTAGCTTCCTGCTGTCCCCCCAGGGTCCCACATGGTGTCATCCTCTGCACCTGTTCCCTAATTTTCAGCATCACAAATGCCAAGCTCATGACCATTCGAGGGTCAAGGTGTGTGCTGTGCCATTGGCTGCTCTCTTTGCCGCTTGCAAGCCTCCAGTTCTCTGCCTGAATGTCACCCCTTCAGAGAACACCCCTGCAACTGTGGGTCTCCTTGATTCTGAACTGCCCTCTCCTCTCTTCTCTTCCTTGAGAGCAAGTCTCATGTCGCAAGGGGAGGTTGTAAGTTGCATTTGGAGTTTCCCTAAGAATCCTGACTTGGCGAAAGGGGATTTGCAGTGGAGCTTCCAGGAACGGCTGGAAAGCTGGGGTCAGGGGGTGCTGGCCACATGGGGAGAGAGACCCAAGAAAACAGCAAAAGAAGAAAAGAAAGGAAAGAAGGAATGGGCTCCCTTGACAGCCTGGTCAGGCGAGAGCCAGTGGGCAGTGGGCATGGGCACCCTAGCTTATGGCCCACTGCACAGGGGAGGAGACATGGCAGCTCAGTTGCAGGAAGTGTCCTGGATTTGAACGGTGTCCCCCAAAAAGACATAGTGAAGTCTCAACTCCTGGTATCTGTGACTGTGACCTCATTCAGAAAGACAGCTTTGCAGCTGTAATCAAGGTAAGATGGAGTCACCGCTGTAGGAGCAGGTGGGCCCTAATCCAGTGACTGGTGTCAGACCAGGGACTGGTGACTGGCATCCTTAGCAGACCAGGGACATGTGAACACAGACACAGACACAGAGAGGATGGCCGCACAAAGACAGAAGCAGGGAAGGATTGCTGGCAGCCATCAGAAGTCAGAAGAGGCAAGGAAGGGACTTTGGCAGAGTGGGGGCCCGCCAGCAGCTGGGTCTCAGATTTCTGGCCTCCAGAACTGGGGGAGAAAAATGCATGTTGCTTGAAGGCCCCAATTTGTAGTACTTGTTATGGAAGCCATACAGAGCCCATACAGACGGTCTGATGGTCAGGGGCCCTTGGTGAAGCTGCAAGAGTGAGAACAGCACAGGTGGTCCGTGCGCTGCTTATTTCACAAGAAAAACTAAACAGGGTGTTGAAGCAGGTCGCCAGGCGGCTGCTCCAGGCTGACCTGAGCTCACAGGGGCTCTTTGCATTTCCCTCAGCTCCTCCACGCCCTGGGGATGGCAGCCATTCTCCTGACCACGAGACCCAAGGTGAGTGGTGGACCTCTCCCTGGCCTCTGCCCCCGCCAGCCCCCATGTGCTGCCTCCTCATGCCCAGACCTCTCCAGCTGGGCTGAGCTGAGGCTGCCCTTACCATTGTTTTCCTTTCCTGAGGTCCACAATCTGGGCTTCCTGCCTCTGTTGGCTGTGCCTCCTGTTTTTCTCTTACAACTCGTGCAACCCCAAGCCCTTCCACCTGCTGAGCCCTCCAGGGCTCCCCCCACCTCACATTTTGTTTCTGTAGCTCCTCCAGGGGCCCAGGGTGTTGAATTCCCCTGTGGCCACAAGAATGGCTTATTTTAGGTGCCAGTATCTTTTGAGGACGTGTCCGTGTACTTCACAAAGACAGAATGGAAGCTTCTGGACCTCAGACAAAAGGTCCTCTACAAGCGGGTGATGCTGGAAAACTATAGCCATTTGGTGTCACTGGGTAAGTGACCCCCCCCATGACATACACACACCCAGTCCACCTACTCTGTCTCTGGGCTCAATTTGTTTCTGACTGTCCTGTTTGTTGGTTGCTATGAGCCCAGGAATACATGAATTTCTCCATCAGACCAGTAATACCACTAATCCATTGCAGGCCAGCTCTGCCATCTCAGTAGGATAGTTTTTAGCTAAGTGGCCTGAACCCATAAATGTTTTAGGTAAATGCGTTGGCCTGTGAGTTTCAGTGTCAGACTTATCTTGTGTATAAAATCATGAATTGACTAAATGTCTTTCTACTCAAAAGAGATGCAAATTATACTGGCATATTTATGTGAACTATTTTAGACTTAATTCATTTCTATGATGGCTGCATTTTGCATCTGTTCCACTTTATAAAATTTAGCAACATCTTTTGCTTCCATCGACCAGGGAGGTCCCACGTAAGGACAAATTGTACACTTGGATTTCAAGCCTTGAGAAGTCTTGGAAGGAGCAGGCTGCTCTCCCCCTTCCCTGCCCGTGCACCCCCACTGCTGGAAGGGGCTGCAATTTTGCCAATTAAAGGACAAATGCAGAATTCACAGGCTAGATAGATGGGGGCCAGAGCACTCAGGAATGCTTTCTGGTGAGGCGCAGAGCCTCTGGGGGTGCCAGTGAGTTGCCCCGCCTCGCACAGCTGATGAAAAATGCATGCGTGACGGAGCGGGACCCGGCCTCTGGCATTTCCCCCAGTGCACCCTGCAAGGCTGGCTGCTGCAGCTGAGCTTGGACACTCCACTTTCCAGTGGAAATGGAAACACTCCATTTCCCCTCGCTGCCAGAGGGGAAATCCAGAAGGGCTTCAGTATTGTACCCTACTGCCTTCGGGGTTGTGTGGGTCTGACTCCCCATAGAGGGGAAGCAGCTTCATCCCTTGCTTCCTTCTGACCCTCACCAGACAGACCTGGGGTTCCAGGGAGGTGTCTGGGATCCTCAGTGGAGTTTGATGATGAAACAGGGCACTTCAGCTTTTGGGGCGCATGGCTGTCGGCCTCCCAATACTCCCTGGGGCTTACAAGCCCTTCTGTCCCTCAGGGTCCCCACACACATGTCCAAGTTCTCATGAGGTTCTCAGCCTCCCTGCAGGCCAGGGGACAAACACAGTTGTCCCCATGGCCCAAATTGCCAGACACTGAAGCTCTCTACGCCCACCTGGCCCTGGACTCGCAGGACTCGCAGGAGCCCTTGCCTTCGTAGAGGGACTCTGCCCTTTCTCTGGACCTTCCCGGTGGTGCTTTTTAGAGAGTTCTTTATTCTCTGTTACCTGAAGATATTGAGAATGACCTGAGTTCAGGAGCGGCCATGTCCTTAGCCACAGTGGTCCTGACCCGCTTTGTATTCCACACCCAGGGTTTTCCTTCTCCAAGCCTCACCTGATCTCCCAATTGGAGCGAGGGGAAGGACCCTGGATAGCAGACGTCCCCAGAACCTGGGCCACCAGAGGATTGCTCATAGGTGAGTGAGAGGTGCTCAACTGGCTCCCCATCTGGGGAAAAGAAATAGCAGTGGCAAAGGGGTGGGGGGCGCTGCCATTTTGGATGGAAAATTCTCTTTGAAGGCAGACATCAGTCTCCAGGTGTCACAGCAGCCCTGCTGTCTGCAGCCCATCCTCCCACCCCTTCATCTCTCCTGTCTGCCTGTGTGATCACTTTCTGCTCTGTGGTCACCTTGTTCCGTCCCACTGTGTCCTCACCTCCTGCTCGTTCATCTCTCTGCCTTGGCATGAGGGTGACACTGCCTGGCGCTCTGTCTTTCCAGGTGACAGGACACAGAGCATGACATCAACTTCAACGGAGAAGCATTCTGGACGACAACTCCCCGGGGCTGATCCACAAGGTGGCAAGGAGGGGCAGGCAGAAAGGTCGTCTGTGCTGCAGAGAGGTGCCCAAGGGTTGAGGCCCAGCTCAGCCACAGGGTCGCAGGGCCACAAAGGTGCAGAGAAGCGGTACCTGTGCCAGCAGTGCGGGAAGGCCTTCAGCCGCAGCTCCAACCTCATCAAGCACTTCATCATCCACAGTGGCGAGAAGCCTTACGCGTGTCCCGAGTGCGGCAAGCTGTTCCGCCGCAGCTTCGCGCTCCTGGAGCACCAGCGCATCCACAGCGGCGAGAAGCCCTACGCCTGCCCCGAGTGCAGCAAGACCTTCACGCGCAGCTCCAACCTCATCAAGCACCAGGTCATCCACAGCGGCGAGTGGCCCTTCTCCTGCGGTGACTGCGGCAAACTGTTCCGCCGCAGCTTCGCCCTCCTGGAGCACGAGCGCGTGCACAGCGGCGAGCGGCCCTACGCGTGCCCCGAGTGCGGCAAGGCCTTCAGCCGCAGCTCCAACCTCATCGAACACCAGCGCACGCACCGCGGCGAGAAGCCCTACTCCTGCGGCCAGTGTGCCAAGGCCTTCAAGGGCGTCTCGCAGCTCATCCACCACCAGCGCAGCCACAGCGGCGAGCGGCCCTTCCAGTGCCGCGAGTGCGGCAAGGCCTTCCGTGGCCGTTCGGGCCTCAGCCAGCACCGGCGCGTGCACAGCGGGGAGAAGCCCTATGAGTGCAGTGACTGCGGCAAGGCCTTCGGCCGGCGCGCCAACCTCTTCAAGCACCAGGCAGTGCACGGCGCCAGGCGCCCAGCGAAGGCCAAAGCAGAGATGGCGCGGCGGCGAGCGGGATCCAGGAGCGCCAGTCCTGGGAGAGCAGTGGCGGCCAGTAGCCCCCCGCGGGTGAGCGCAGCTTCCAAGCCTTCCAGGCCCAGCCGCCGCTGACTCCCTGCCAGCGCACCCAGGGCGCTGCAGGCCGCCGTGGGGGGCCTTCCCGGGGACGTCGAGGCTCAGCCCCCTTCGGGTGGGAAGAACGCCCTCCCAGGGCCGCGACAGCAGTCACAACCCTGACATCTTTGGCCATCAGAAGACCCCAGGCAGAGCCTCACCCTGAGGCTGAGAAACGCGCGAGGGACTCAGAACAGAGGAATGCACCCTTCCCACGGGGCCACCTGCCCTGGCTCCTCTGCTGAGGACGGTGCAGACTGCCGACAGAGGCCTCTACTCCCTCCAGAGTCCTGGGTCTTGCAACTCAGGCACAGAGGCGGCACCTGGGGCACTCGTCCCCAAGCCACAGGTACTGTGGTGTGTGCACAGGCCTGCGTGGAGGGGATGCCTGCTGCCGGTAAGGACAAGGCCACGTGAGGTCAGTGAAGCCAGCCAGCCGGGGCACGCTGGCTTTAGGTTAAGAGGAGTGATCCATTTCCTCCCTGAGGGTCGTTCCCCTCGCCCTAAAAGTTGTTAAGTGTTCCCAGGTAGAAGATACTGAAAGCACTTTAATCCTTTAAGAGCTTATATTGTGGGTGGGGGAGGCTCCCTGAATGTGGGCACCAGACGGAGGACTGTGCCCGAAAACTCATACCTTGTCTGGGTGCCCCCAGCTGCTTCTGGGAGGAGGAGCAGTGCCTAGAGCCCGTCATCCCTGAGCACAGTGGCTCTAGGAATGGCTGGCCCAGGACCCGCAGAAAGGATAAGACCCGGGGACTCTCAGCATCCCCTCTCTGGGAGAGGAGCCCTTCCCTTCTGGTCACTCACATTTGGACATTTGCAGCTAGCCATCCTGCTGGCTTCGGTTTCCCCCCTGCCCACCCACTGCCTTCTGCCACCCAGACCCCACCAGCAAAGGCCACCCTGGCCTCTCTGTCCCTTGTCCCCTGCCCTGCCCTACCACCAGTGCCTAAATCTTCACACTTACCTGCTCCTCCCCGTCAGGCAGCTTCTCTTTTGGCTGGGGATGATTAGGAGAAAAGCCAGATGGGTTAGGAATTTGCACTTAGGCAACAGAGCAAGCCCAGTAACGGATGTTTCATTGAATGTCTTTTAGTGACATTTTGTAGAATATTGGACGTTCTGTTGCTTTGAATGTTTTTTGTGTTCAGGGTTAATGTACATTGAAAATAGAGATTTTGCCATATCAGAGTGTCAGGGAATCACTCCCTAAATAAGAGTCCCCCCAACCCTCTGAGAAGGAAGACCTCAGGCAGGAGAAAGGGAGCCACTCCAGGCCTGCCCCCGATGAGTATGGTGGCAAGCCTGGCCCCTCTTCTCCCCACAACAATGCAGTCCACCCTTCCTCCCCTTAGCCCTGCAGAGACAGGGAAGACCCTTCAAATGTCACTTTACTGAAAGCCAAGGGGAATTCTCAAGGAAAAAACTCAGGGCTGACAGACGTAGCTGCTGGCAGACCTTGTCCTAGCCCCCCAGCCCTGTCCCCAAATCTGGGCCCAGGAACTCTGCCCCTTGGTGCTCTCAGCCCAGTGTCCTGGTCAGCTGCCACCCCCTTCCAGCCCTGTCCCCTCCCAGGGAAGAGGGGATTTGTCATCTACAAGGGCTGAAGGCAGGCGGATGGTAGGTGCGGTGGAGAAGGTGTTCAGAGACAGCTGCCTCCGATCAGGAGAGTGTGGGAAGACCCGAAAATACAGGATTCCCTCAGAGAATGCTGCTTTGGAGTGCCAGTCATTTCTGGACAACTCCAGAAACGTTACACACACACACACACACACACGAGCGCACAAGCACATGTGTTTTATATATATAAATATATGAATTCTTTGATGAAAACTTCTAGAGTTCTTGTAAGCTGCTCTTGTTCTGATGCCTCCTTCAGTGGGTCCCTATCCCCGTCCTATGATTGTGTTCTCGTCTATGAGCCTGCCTCATAAGCCTGCAAGTGTGTGTCACACCTGTCCCTGTGCCCTCCATGCCAAGCCCAGTGCTGTTAATCAGTAAGCATGAGTGAAATGGGCCTTGTAGTCCTAACACCTCAGACTCAGTCCTGGGACCGTCACTGGCTCCAGCCTTGCCTTGAGGCAATCCGAAGCATCTACAACTTTGGGTTTTCCAGAAAAAGAAGTCTTAGGAATGGTGTATTTGAAGTCCCTGGTGACGCCATTGGGAAGTCTGGGTTTTTCTGCCATGCAGTCTTTGCAAGGGCTGGCATGGGTCCAGAAACGCAGTGGTCATGTGGAGCAGGTGCCCATGGTTCATTCAACTGAACCAGAAAGGAAACATATCCATGCAGTCTGTTACCCATTTCCGTCACTCTAGGAAGTAAATGATTCCATTCCTACAAGCCAGACAGTAGCTACTTCCACTAAAGAAGAGTCGCCTCCTTAGTAACATGTCATGCCGTTGGTTCTGATGCATAGCGAACTCTATTTTTAAAGGAAGTTCCTTTTCTCACCTTGAGACCTACACCCAAGACTGACTAGACACAGGCAGGACAAGGTACATGAGTTGTCAGCAGAAAGTGGAGTTGCCAAGAGAGAGGCTGGGCACTTTCACTGTGACTTTAGAGTGCCCGGAAAAGCTCCAGGGTCCCCAGTGCTTACTTAGATAAACGGCATTTGAAATAGTGTAGCCCTTTGTCACTGCTTGGTCTAATTTGGCTCCCCTTAATGGCATTCTCACTGCAAGGTGGTCATTGCTATCATTTTCTTTGGGTGTGGCAATTAGGTATGCCCCGTGAACTGAACAGGTATCACATGGAATCAAAGTCAGAATGTCCGAAAAGGACATTTGTGTTTTTCCTTCAATGGTGCCTTTAAATTGAGCTCCCTCCCTCTTGCTGTGTGGGGAACTGGGAGGGTAGCCTACGCTTGCTTTGCGATGGACACAGCTAAAATGTAAAAGCTTAAACTATGGGGAAAGTCTTGCCTATTTTCCAGGGCTTCCTCCACCCCGCCACCCAAGAATTTTCCTGGATAACAACCTGGGACCCCTTTGCCTTTGGGCTTCTGCCCTTTGAAACTGTGAACACTTCAAGAGCCAGGTAAATGCTCTGGCACTGTCTCCGTGTAACTAGTAACTTATCTGGGATGGATTCATTGCGAAACGGAATTGTTCCCATTTACTCTGGTTGCAAATAAGGAAGGTCTATGAGCAATGGCCTGGAAATGAGCCCTCCAGTGCAGAGGGGCTATGCTGAGGCTTTAAACTATACGGATTATACTCAAGGTTACAGGAATGGCTGTAAGTCTGGGACTCTGGGAAATGGCCAGAGCTGGTGCTTGGGTGTTCTTTGGGGAGTCCCTGTGAAGGTGAGACAGAAAGGCCTTGTGGGTGAGCTGCCTCGGGTCAGCCCAGGGGTGCAGACTCCTCTGGCTGGGACCACAGGCAGCCACCGGAGGCCACTCAGACACTGTAACTCTGAGACCAGAGGGAAGGGAGGCTGCACCTGGTACCATGTGTTCCCCAGCGAAGTGCCATATCAGTCTCCTGAGAACACAGACGCGTTTTTTTCCAGTCATTCCTGTTCCCAGACTTTAGGCAACATGGCAGCTCCCACGCTTGCCATGTAGCTGCAAGAGCAGCTCTGGAGACAGGAAGTGGAGGCAGAGGGACTTCTTACGAGGGAAAGGAAGTGCTTGGGTTAGGGTAGGGGAAGAACGGAAAGGATGGGGTGTGTTTGGGGAAGCCTGGAAGGGCAGAGAGATTGTGGTAGGACAGGTATGGGCTAAAGGGTCAGTTAGAACCAGAGTGTGGAGACTCTGGGATGCCATATGCAAAAGTTTGGGCTCTAACGGGTTCCTGATGAGGAGCAACTTTCCAAAAACATGAAAGAATTATTGTAAGATTGACAAAGGGAAGTTAATGGAAATGATAACTACCACAGGGTTTGAATTTACACACTGACCACCTCAAATGTTATGACTATAGTCATCTCTATGGTTGTGATGCCCATGAGGTGTTGGGCAGGGGGCACAATGAGGATGAGGCAGCATGAGCTTTGACACAAGGCCTCCAGCCATGAGTCTCAGGGGCTCGCACTTGCCATGGGACTTGCAGCTGGTTCCGTCTAATGCCAGCCCAGTGCATGTGTCACTGTCTTCAGAAAACGGGGGTCCTCCGGGAGTTCTGGACAGCTGCTCTGCAGATTCTTATATTGCATTGGAAGTACCTTCAATTCAACGCCTTGAACTTTTGAAAGGAGCACAGTGCCCTCCTTCTGTGTTCAGGAAGGCCAAACTAGGTCCTTCTCCACCACCAGGCCGTGGGAAATGGAGGCCTGCTGCAGACATGAAGGTCGGTGATCGTTTCCTCTTCCTTTGACAGCTTTATGAAGGTATAATAGGCGTACAAGAAACCGCACATCTTTAAAGCATACAGTTGGAGGGTTTTTGGCATGTGTGTACACCCGTGAAACCCCCCCCACAATCGACACGGTGAATTTATCCACCACTCCCAAAAGTGGCCTCGTGCCCCGAGCGACCTCTCTTTCCTGCTCCTCACTGTCCCCCTTCCCCACCGCCACTGCTTGGCTTGCTGTCTCTGTAGACTAATTTTCATTTGCTGGAGTTCCCTAGAAATTGACTCATATAGTGTATGTCTGGCCTCTTTCACTTGGCACAATTATTTTTTCATCAGATGTTTTTGTGCATATCAATACTTCATTTTTTTATTCTTGGTAGGATCCCATGTTATGGGTGGACCACAATACCTGTTGAATGCCTGTTGATGGACATTTGGGTTATTACCAGGTTTTGGCCATGACAAATAAAGCTACTGTGAACATGTGTGTACCAGTTTCTGCGTGGACATATGTTTTCATTTCTCTTGGATATACTGCTAGGAGTGGAATTGCTGGGCCATGTGGTAATTCTGTGTTGAGCTGTGTGACGAACTACCAAGCTATTCCACAGCAGCTGCACGATTTTATGTTCCCAACAGCAGTGTACAAGCGTTCCCATTTCTCCACATCGACCAACTGATATAGTTTGGATCCGTGCCCCCGCCCAGATCTCATGTTGGAGGTGGAGCCTGGCGGGAGGTTACTGGATCATGGGGGCAGGGTTCTTACGAATGGTTTAGTATCATCCTCTTGGTGGTGTCCTCGTGATAGTGATTGAGTTCTCACGAGATCTGGGCCTTTAAAAATGTATGGCACCTCTCCCTTCTCTCTCTTGCTCCTGCTCTGGCAGTGTGACTTGCCTGCTTCTGCTTTGACTTCTACTATGAGTAAAAGCCCCCTGAGGCTTCCCCAGAAGCAGACGCTGCCATGCTTCCATGCTTCCTGTACAGCCTACAGAACTGTGAGTGAATTGAACCTCTTTTCTTTATAAATTACCCAGTCTCAGGTATTCCTTCCTAGCAATGCAAGAACTGACTAATACATCAACACTTGTTACTGTCTGTCTTTTCACTATAGCCATTCCAGTGGGTAGGAGGTGGTATTCATTGTGGCTTTGATTTGCATTTCCCTGATAACAAATGATGTTGAGCATCTTTTCATGTGTCCATTGGTCATGCATATGTCTTCTTTGAGGAAGTGTCTGTCCAAGTCTTTTCCCTATTTTAAAATGAGGTTGTTTGTCTTCTTGTTAGGTTGAAAGAGCTCTACACACAAGGTCTTCGTCAGATACGTGTTTTGCAATATTTTTCTTCCAGACTCTGGCTTGCCTTTTTATTTTCATAACAGTGCATTTTAAAGGACAGAAGTTGTGTTATCTTGATGGAGTCTAAGGTATGGACTTTTAAATTTTATAGTTTGTGCTTTTTGTGTCATGGTTAAGAAAGCTTTGCATGGCCGGGCGCAGTGGCTCAAGCCTGTAATCCCAGCACTTTGGGAGGCCGAGGCGGGTGGATCACGAGGTCGAGAGATCGAGACCATCCTGGTCAACATGGTGAAACCCCGTCTCTACTAAAAGTGCAAAAAATTAGCTGGGCATGGTGGCACGTGCCTGTAATCCCAGCTACTCAGGAGGCTGAGGCAGGAGAATTGCCTGACCCCAGGAGGCGGAGGTTGCGGTGAGCTGAGATCGCGCCATTGCACTCCAGCCTGGGTAACAAGGGCGAAACTCCGTCTCAAAAAAAAAAAAAAAAAGAAAAAAGAAAGCTTTGCAAAACTCAAGTCACTAAGACTACATCCAGTGTCTTCTTGTAAAGACATAGACATGTTTCCTTATTGAAGTTGTGTAATCTTAGCTTTGATGTTTAGGTCTATGATCCATCTGGCATATGGTGTAAGGCAAATTCACAATTCATTGTTTTCTGTATGGATGTCCAGTTGAGTTGCCTTGGCCCCTTGTCGTGTGTGTGCGAGTCTACTTCTGGACCCTTCATGGTGCCCCCTCAGTCAGCACTATGGACCGAATGTTTGTGGCCCCCGAAAATTCATCTGTGGAAGCCCTGATCCCCAATGGTAGATTAGTCCATTTTCATGCCACTGATAAAGACATACTGAGACTGGGTAATTTATAAAGAAAAAGAAGTTTAATTGACTCACAGTTCCACGTGGCTAGGGAGGTCTCACAATCATGGTGGGAGGCAAGGAGGAGCAAAGTCACGTCTTACATAGTGTCAGGGAAGAGAGAACTTGTGCAGGGGAACTGCCCATTATAAAACCATCAGCTCTTATGAGACTTATTCACTATCAAGAGAACAGCGCAGGAAAGACCCACCCCCATGATTCAATTACCTCCCACTAGGTCCCTCCTACGACATATGAGAATTGGGGGAGCTACAGTTCAAGATGAGCTTTGGGTGGGGACACAGCCAAACCATATCACATGG